ATGAGAGCTTGGGAGTGTACGAGGGGGCTCTGGCTTGGGGGTTGTGGTCCGGGCTGGGGCAGGAGGGGCTTGCCTCAAGCAGCTCCCGGTCAGCAGTGCAGTGGGGGTGCTAAGGCAGCTTCCTGCCTCTCCCGGCACTGAAGGCCATGCTGCACCCCAGAAGCGGCCAGTAGCAGGTTCCCAGCCAATAGGAGTGTGGAGTTAGAGCTCAGGGCAGGGGCAGTGCATGGAGCCCTGTGTGTTCCCCTCCCCCAACCCAGGAGCCAGGCCTGTTGCCAGCCATTTCTGGGCTGCAGCACAGTCTGCAGTGCCAGGACAGGCCTTAGCCCCCACGGATCCCCTGATCCCCCTGCAGCTACGAGACCCAGTGCCTGACATTCCATAACCCAGCACTGGGTCCCGACCCATAGTTAGAAAACTGCTGCTCTAGAGGCCCCCAATGAGATCTGGACCCCAGTGCTGCAGGTGCTGCACAAACATACAGTACCTGGCAGTCTCTGCTGCAGTGAGCTTGCAATGTTAGGGCCTGTCTACCCTCAGGAGGAGGCGCGGCTCCCAGCTATTTCTGCTCAAGCTGGGGCACTAACCATAGCAATGTGACCAGGGGGCATGGGCTAGTCACCCAACTATAACCTTGCACATGATCTTAGCCTGAGCCATTGCCCACCAAGCAGCTGGATCCAGCCTGTGGAGGCCCTGCTGCTCCCCCACCCCCTGGCCAATGAGGGTCTGAGGGCGGGGGAGCGTTCGAAGCCTCCTCCCGCCCTGCCAGGAGCACGTGGCGCTTTGAAGCGCTGCGCGCTGCTCACACGGTGGGGGGGAGAGTGGAGGAGGCTTTGCGTTTTCCCCCATCCCCAGGCCAATCAGGGTCTGGGGGCGGGGGAGCTGCGTGAAGATTCCTTCGGCCTGCCCCGGCCCTGCAAGGAGCCCGCAGCACTTCAAAGTGCCACGTGTTCCTCACTGGGCGGTCCCCCTCCCCAGGTCCTGATTGGCCTGGGGGTGGAGGAGCGTGCCAAGCCTCTTCCAGGGCATGGGTGCCTAGTGGGAAGAGGGGGCAAAAGGGCTCCCCCATCCCCAGGCCCATCATGGTTTGGGGGTGGGGTAGCCCCGCCCCTTCCCATTTAGGCCTCACCCCTTCCAGGGTGGCCTGGGGCTACTTCAAACATTTTTTTAAGTGGCTCCCGGGCAAAATTTATTGCCCACTCCTGATCCAGAGCATGCCACCCAGGCCTCTGCAGTGTGCTTCATATGGCTCCAGTGGCAATTTCAAGGGCCCAGGGCTTTGGCTGCTGCCACTGTTACAGTAGCGGTGGCTAGGAGCTCCAAGCCCCTTTGAATTGCAGAGCCCCCTTTCACCTTCCCCCCATCAGCAGCCTTGGTGCATCATACCCCACCGGTGTCTGGGTTACACTTGCACAGAGCCAGTGCATGTCTCTCCAGAGGACCAGGGAATTACTGCTAGGCTAGCTGTTGTGCAGACAAAGCCTCTATGGGCAAGACAAACGTAAGGTGGGAGAAAGGAAGAATTATTATCCCCATTTTATAGCTGAGGATCAACGGTGCAGCAACAGTAATTGATTTGCCCAGAGTCACACAGGAAGTCTATGGCAGAACCAGGAACAGATCCCAGATCGCTTGAGTCTCATTCCAGTGTCTCACTCCTGAGCCTTTCTCATGTGAGGTGAACAAACACCACTTCTCCCCCTCTCGTGACAGTGAGCCCCAGCCGTCCCTCCTTTCCACTGGTTTCATACTGGCTTCAACGGAGTTCCTGATTTATGCTGGGTCTGAGAGCAGGAGCAGGCCTTCTTATGAGAGACAAAACCCCGGTGTCTAAAGCCTGGTTTGTCCCACTGATTTTTTTTACAACATCTTCTACAAAAATGTGAATGTTATTCACAGATGAACTGGTTCTCCTCTCAGTCACTCCCCTTCTTCAAAGGCAGGGACGGGAGTTTAAAAATACTCATTTGCTTCTTCAAATGGAGAAGCCGTTGAGCACAAATCCCCAAGAATGTCCAAAATAGGGAAAAAATAACTTGCTGGCTGGACAGCTCTCCCAAATGGGATTAATTCCTTTCCTGCCCACCCTGATGTACTAATGCACTTCCTGAATTCAGGGAAATTAGGGTCTAGCATACAAAAAGAACTCAGGAAGGCGGCTGGATTTCTCACTTATTGGCTGGAGAGGAAGGAATGATGAAATCACTGTAAACATGACACTTTTGGTCTCATGCACCCCAGCCACGCAAACTCAGACTGACACACACAGTAAACCTAATAAGTGCTCCTCCCCCACCTTTGTTTTGATGGGTCATAGATCAAGCTAATTCCTTGAGAAGTAAATATTGGCTGCTTTCCGCCACTCCACTGTACAATGCACTCAGCTGCCCAGGCAAAGGAAGAGTCCAAAAAAGTTTTGATCTGTTTAACAGAACTGGGATACATTCAATGCTGACAAAACACTCGGCTGTCACAAGGCCAGGTTCTCAGATGGTGTAAATTGACACAGCATCATTCATCTCAGTGGGGTTGCACTGGCCTTGCTATTTCACAATGCAGTTCATAGGCACTGACGCCGTGCGGCCTCCAGGGCTGGAGCTTGTATGGAAAAAAAGCCGAGCGGTTGCCGGGGTACCCCCTGCCAGCCCTGTGGATCAGCACCCCCACCTCTCCACACAGTGCCTCCCGCCTGCCAACGGCCCCACCACTCAGTTCATCCCTTTCTCTCCCAACACCTCCTGCTGGCTGTGAACAAGCTGTTCAATAGCATGCAAGTGGCATTGGGAGGGAGGGGCAAAACAGGAAGAGGCAGGAAAAGGATTGGGAAGAGATGGGCCAGAAGAAGCGTGGAGGGAAGAGGTGGGGCCAGGGTCTGGGGCAGAGCAGAAGTAGGAAGAAGCAGGATGGGGATAGGGGACTGGAAGAAGGGGTGCTGTGTGGGCGGGGCCTGGGACAGAGCAGGGGTGGAGCACTGCCCAGGATCTGAGTAAGTCGGTGCTTATGATGAGACGTTTCACTGCAATTGCATTGTTCACACAATGTCGTCACACACAGAACAGAGGACGCCCACGGCTGGAATCTCTTATCCAAACCACCCCAAGACAGTTTCAGTTTGGCAACAGCAAATCCCAGTTAAAGGGGTTTTTCAAAATCCAACACCCCAAATCCTTTGTTTGGCCATTGCAGAGAAGAGACAAAGGGACGGATTCTCAGCACCCACATACATTAGCTGAAGAACCTCGCCCAAAGCCTTGTGTTCGAACACCCTGGCTTTGGATTTTAGGATGTGATGGGACCTAGCTACAAACCACCCTGGAGTTAGTTTTGTGAAAGAGAAGGCGACCACTGGCCCCCTCCTCTAAAATTACCAGCTAGAGCTGAGTGACAGCGTTTGAATCTGAATCCAAACTTGTCCACACTTCAGAGCAGTTGGGCCAATTTTTACCCAATAACCCCTCTTTCTGGGTGGCTCAGGTTATGTCTACACTGCTGTGTTTTTTTGGAAGAACTGCCGTTTTTAAAAAAAACCCTCCAGTTACATTCACACTGCAATCATGTTCTTTTAAGAAAAAAAATCAAAAGAATAGAGGGATTTTTCCGACATTGGTAAACCTCTTTCTACGAGGAAGAAGCCTTTTTGCGAAGAGCTCTTTCAGAAAAAGACGTGTGTGGAAGGGGAAGAGGGAGTTCTTTCGAGAGAAGAGGAAAGAGGAAAAAGTACAGGTGCCCTGGTGGTCATTCTGTCCATAGTAATAACAGCTTAAATGTTAGATAGTGTCCATTCTCTGTGGACGCTCTCTTTTGAAAAAGCAGATCGCTTTTTCGATGCATTTGGGCAATATGGATGCTCTCTTTCAGAAGAAGTTTTTCCAGAAGACCTCTTCCAGAAAAGTTTCTTCTGAAAGAAGCCTGTAGTCTAGACATAGCCTCTGATGCTGAAAGGTGCAAGAGGCTTTTCCACTCCTGGCACTGCAGGTAGAGTGACCAGATGTCCTGATATTTGAAGCTTTGTCTTATATAGGCATCTATTATCCCTCTCACCCTCTGTGCCAATTTTTCACGCTTGCAGTATGGTCACCCTATCTGCAGGCCACTGTACTTGAATACTAACAACCAGGGCTCGACAAATCAGTGAATCTACTCGCCCGTGGCAAGTAGATTTCAGCCGGGCGCCCCATTCGCCGGCGGCGCGCGCATGCGCAATGCAGGTCTTGCGCATGCGCAGTGTGGGGCTGGCGAGTAGATTTCGCAGTGGTTTGTCAGGCCCTGCTAACAACAATAATGCTGCCAGTGCTGAGGAGGAAAGAAAGTGAGCTTTGCTCATGCTCTTGGCCCATGGGCATGGGCGGGTCAGTAATGCAGGAAAGAGAAGGCAGAGCCTTCCCAAAACTGCCTACATGCCCAGCCGCCTAAGGCTGGGGCCACTGGCGAGGAAGGCTGGGACCATGGCGCAGCAGCCATCTTCTCCCGACCACTGGAAAAGGGAGGGAGTCACAGCCCAGAGGCCCAGCTTCCCCTAGCCACCAGGAGGGATGGGGTTG